AAACATAGGGTTATACAAATGAATGAATAGATTTAAAATGAAGAATTAAAATGAAGAGCAAATTAATACAATAGTATAAATTATGTAATTATACCTGATATTAAACAATTATTATTAGGATCTAGCGATTTATAAAAATCCCATAAATTAAAACCCACGCGAAATATTGCCGCTCGTATTTTATTACAAGTGCGCCAAACATCTTGTAGCCTCAAAATCTATGGGCAGAATATGTTAAATGTGAGAAATCGTCTGGAATAGAAGTATTTTCTCTGCACATCTTATGTTAGAAAATATGGCAGGAATATAACTTCACCTTCTGCTCCTCGGGCATTTGGTCAACTAAAAAAACACGTTAAGTATTACAAAAATTTTACTGTATAAACATCTATAAATTTCACAAATGATAAACTGTATATCAGTTAACAAACAAAAAACAAGCGTAACATTTTAACGCAAATATAAAATGTTATTTTCAGTAAATAACTTTAATTAGTTAAATGTTTATAACTATCACATGTGATATTAATTACTAAAGTATACAGCTTTATAAATGAATAAGTAAAACATTAATTAACTTAAGAAGAATCAACAGCAATAATTAATAACAATGTTTCGTTGTAATTATAGCAATGAATAGCAGCATGCAGTATTTAAAATGTGTAAAAACATTCCTAAATTAATAAACTCCAAAGGAAATAATAATTTATTATGACAAAGGTACAATTTTACAAAGTAATGAATTCAGGATTAAAATATATGATCACTGCTACATATGTAATATATTTTAGGAATTTTCTATAGAAATTCAGCGACATCTATACTGATGCTAGCGCCAACTACAAACGTCCCTCACACGCTTACAATGAAAACGTAGAATGAACGGTAAGCGTTTCCCGCTTTTATTGGGTATTAACATAAAAATCGAATTCTTTTTTCAGCTCCTGTATTGAAATAATTAATGATAATCAGACAACAAAAATAAAATTATAACGGTGTAAAACAACGAAATAATTATACCAAAGTAAATTTAGAAGTAATATTTTATTGATTTTTCTTAGATGTTACGCGCATAGAATTCTGGGAAGTGATATCACCGAATGGAGTCGGTTCTTCAACGTATTCCTATTGGCTCACATGCATTACTCAGCATTTGCAACGAATCTTATTGGCCCTTCGTTTTCGCTCCATTCCCCACGCGAGACTACAATTTTCGTATGCATGCCAAGATATCCACTATTCCCCCTTAGCATCACTGGAATACTCGGCAACATCGATTGGTGTAATAGGGGCGTAACAATGCTTTGAAATGTTGGCAATTCATTGCTTTCTTGAGAATTAGGTTATTTTATATAATTCCAGATTTAAAACAAAACACTGACCTAATTGATGAAATATCCAATTATATGAATTTCAGTAAACTGTAAAAGAAAAAATGCTATAAAAATCTTTTAATGTTAACTATATTATTTAATTGTTAAATCGACTTATAATTTACAGAATTTTATTTGATTTCATTTCATTGCACTTAAATTCAACAAATTAAATTAAACAAATTAAATATTAAAGATTAATTACACATAAATTATAATGTGACAGCAATTATACGCCTTTTTCTTTATATTGTATAGAGCATACTGTGAATAATGTAAATATTTTTAGAAATTGTAAACTGACCAGGTGTTAAATGTTAAAGTTACGGTACTGCACGCTGAAATCTGATTGGCTCAGAGACCTTTTAGAGGGGAAGTAAAAGAGATTCCATGATGCTTTGCGCGGAATCTCCTGAGTCAAACTGAGCGCAAGTCCTCTCCCTTCTCTATTCGGCGGCCGATCAGTACGGACGTGAGAGTGTGTTAGCTCGTGTAGTGTATTTAATTATTCGTTAAAACGCGATTTATAATTGTGTTTTCAGTGTCTCATTAGAAAAATAAAAACAAAGTATTATAAACTATGGCCGATCAGGAGAACAAGGACTTCAGCGAAGATATAGCCGATCAAAACTTCGAGCAGAACGGCGAAGCAGAGAACGGCGGCGGGGACGCCGCAGAAAATGGCCAAGAATCGCAAGAGGACAGGTAACCTTTTTCGTCTATAATCTCGATCTTGTACTTAAATCAAACATTGTTTTACAAAAATATCGATTTCGTGTCACTTGAGACTTTAAACGCGCGGGAATATACAGTAAAGCTTCCAAGCGAGAATTGCTTTGTGCGATACGATTGTCGTGAATGACAAAATGGCGGATATGCGAGATCCCGAAAATTCTAATCCGTTCCCATCGGTTCTAAAGCGAGCGTTTTTACTATTGCAGTTAACTTCTTTTATATTGCTGCAGTATAAAAAAATCCTAGGTATCAATCCTTAATGCTAAACTAAATTTTACGCACAATTTCGATGCGCTTTGCTTGGGCTCGTTTTTTAAATCTTTTGTTACTATTACATTGTATCACGTCCTCGTGTTTTTCACGCACAACACGCATTTATGCATCAAACCAGAATACTACTAAATAATATTTTACATAAATATAATGAGTATGTAGTTTATTCAGGGAGGGTAATGCGTAATCCTTGATTATTTAGTATCGTCGTGATATTTATTAGAAATGTTCATAGATTGTAAGAATTTTTGGTGGCTGGTGGCACAGCACCACGCCTTCCCCCCTTTTCAGCGTAACGAGATCTCGAGCTGGACGATTTGCCCATCGACGAGTTTAGATGTCAATGTTGATGTACGGACACAGTCTATGTAAATATTTTGTAATATCGCATTATACGTTCGTTCTTACTTTCTTACCATTGTCACAGCATTTTGGGTTGTATACCAAAGGGATTCGACTTTTTTTTCTTTATATCCCTACAGCTTTGGATTGTCACGAACTCTTACATAGTTTGGGGTATGTTTTTGCAATATGGGTAAGCTACTTTAGATTGTAACTAGTAGAACTACTTAAATTGATATCGGGAAAGAAGATGTAACCTTCAAATTTTCTAAATATGTTCACAATTTTTTGCACTCTTGCATTATGAAAAGTTATATAAGTGGTAAACATCAAATGCAAAGTTATTTTTATCTATTCATATTCTGTTTAAGATCAAAATTTGGAGGTATGCTTCCTCTCACCCATTACAAAACTACATATGTGTGTGTGTTAAAGGATGTGATTTCTATGTAGAAAGTAACAAAAGTAAACAACTGAAAGCTGGTATTCCCATATTTACTATATCAATTTAATGTACAAGTAAAAAAAGAGGAACAAAAAAACAAAAATAAGAATTGCATGTTCTTTATTGCAAAATTATGATAAGCTAATTATATACATATAAGAATAATAAGTATTAGTTGTAACTTTATATGTGCTGTTGTTGCGAGGTATACATTTATCTGTTTAAAATTTTGTAATTTTGTGTAAACTCCTTATTTCTGCTCTCCTTCCTAGTTAATTCTATTATAGTTTTGTAATTCATAAAAAGAAATTGTGATTTCATCAAATGATAAAAATTTCTACACGTTGCGCAAATAATAATTGTAATATTTTTATAGAGCATAAACTTTGAAATGCATTTTTGGCCAGCTGAGTCTTCCTCATTGATTCATTGCAGCAGAATTCTGGTTAGTCAATTGTTCACGATTGACAATATGTACGCTTACCTGGGATCTGTGAACTGAACCGTGAAGCCTTATGATTGACTTCTGAGTCTGAATTATTGTGAGAAGTCTACGTCAAGTTCAAGTCTGTCATGTTTCGTCACAACACAAGCACTGGAAATCGAGTCAATTACGTCAGATCAATAAGTCTCGCACAGACACACACTTGCCTGCTGGGTCACGCGTAGAGTAATTTCTGATCAGATGTCAATGCTGTTTGGGCGTGATCAAAGCACAGAGTCACTAGGGCCAATGCGAAAAACTCCGATAGGTCGGAATGCCATTAACCCAGTTTATGTGGCTTGATCTGCAGGTGGCAAACGACCCAGTGCGATTATGGCGGGCGGCTCGCAACCGGCTAACCGTGACCCGACCAACAACTGATTACCGGCGAGTGACTGGTGCCTACGGTATTTATCACCAGCCCTAGATGATATATGAAAAGATCAATCTAAGTACAGACAACTATCATCACACTGCCAGAAAAGTGAAAAATATTGCAGCTTATTATATTTGTATATGAAAAGGCTGAAAAGTATATCAGGACTTGAAAAACATAATAATATTTAGCTGATGAATAAACAAAGAGAGAGAAATAATATACATACGTAAACATACATATAAATAAACATCAAATATTGTGTGCATATAGATATTTAAAAAGTATCAAGAAGTGACCATCATTAACTTGTAATGTGGAAACAATTTTTTTAGCTTTTTAATAGAGTTGCAGTCTATCTACAATATGTCAATTCTTTGGGCCAATCAGCAGTCAGAGTACAACTTGGAAAAGTTAAATCTTATTTCCTTTAGGAGCAGCTGTATGTCAACTGGAGTTATAACTATTGTTCGGGTTCACATGAACGTCGTGAAAAGTACTTTGCTCTCTCAATGCGTTAATTTTTACATATATACTTTTTTCAAAGATTTTTCCTTTAATTTTTGTTGATAAGTTCATTTATCTGAAGTTCAAATCAAGGTCTATGTGGTGTGCAAAGCAGTCTTCTCATGGTTTGATATAATCCTATGTTTCTTATTAAGGACAAATGCATCTTTTCATATGATAAGATTGTATCAGTGAGTTCATTTATTCTAGGAATGGTATTTTCATGTTCTTATTAATATCGTAACTATCAAATTAAGATAATTTTATTCTCGCAAAGATATTTTTCCAAATTTTAAAGTAGACATTAATGTAGGTCACTTAATCAATTGTTTATCCAGTGCCCCTTTACCAAATGATATACTACTGGTCTATTGCATTTCTTGTATATTGTCAATACTAAATTTTAATATTGTAACTCTGATTCTAATTTTTCCAGGGGTCAAGTCAAACTCCTTTTTTTAAATATAAATGGAAATGATTTGTAACAAAACTTAAACTTTTGCTTCATTCTTAGTCCTTAAAATTAATATAAATTTCAAAGATCGTCATAATAAAATACACTACATTGCTTTACAGGTCAACTGGAGGTAACCAGGATTCTTTAAATGATAGGTACATCCACTTTTTATTATTGTTTGCCATCTTTTTAAATTCTTGCATAACAGTAAATGCTTTAAATGTATTTAAATATTTAAAAAATCAGAGGTATGTCATACATGAATTGCAAATTAGAGAAACAATTTTTCCTAAATAGCTATATAGTATATTAAAAGTTCATAAATTTATATAATTGCAAAAATTTAAAAACTTCAATATTTTATTTAATTGAACTTTCACAATAACATTCTGCAAGAAACGTTTGTTTTAATTCAAATATTACTTTATTTTTACTTTTTGCAGGAAATTGTTTGTGGGTGGATTAAGTTGGGAAACTACAGATAGTAAGTATTTTTTTCATTATTCTTCAAAACTTATATTTTCCTGTACAATGATGTCATTTATTATCTTAGGACACCTTCAGATGACATAAGTCATATGAGATTAAATATAATTCTGAGTTTTTGTTTCAATTAAGTAGTGTAAGGAATTAAACAGTTTAATTGCTATTTTCTAATTAAGTATGTTTATTTTCAGAGGAATTGAGGGATCATTTTGGCACATATGGAGATATTGAAAGTATCAATGTCAAAACAGATCCTAATACTGGACGGTCACGAGGATTCGCTTTTATTGTTTTTGCGAAAGCAGAGTCGCTAGACAAGGTAATATAGTAAAATCGTACACACTAATGAAGTCAAATGCTTTCAAGGTATAAATGATGATAATTATGACCAGTTCTGCTACTGAATGAATTTGAAGATAGTCCATTTCTGAAGAAAAATTGAAAATAATAATTTTTACAAATTTCAATAATCACAAATTTGATAAAGATTACTTATATTTCAGATTATGGCAGCTGGTGACCATATAATTAATAATAAGAAGGTTGATCCTAAAAAAGCAAAAGCCAGGCATGGTAAAATCTTTGTAGGTGGTCTTTCAACAGAATTGTCAGATGAAGATATCAAGAATTTCTTCTCTCAGTTTGGAACAGTAAGTACTCAATTTTATGCCACTTTACAAATATTTATTCATTATTGGGTGTAAATATAATGTAAGTGAATGTATGTATCTCATAGATTGTTGAAGTAGAAATGCCATTTGACAAGACAAAGAACCAGAGGAAAGGGTTCTGCTTCATTACTTTTGAATCGGAACAAGTAGTAAATGAATTATTAAAAACTCCGAAACAGACAATCAATGGTAAAGAGGTACGTTTAACATTAATAAGATAGTTAATTAATATACATATTAACCAAGCACTAAAATATTCAAATATGTTAAATAGGTTGATGTAAAGAAAGCAACTCCTAAACCAGATGGTATGGGAGGAATGCGTGGCGGTGCTGGCGGTCGCGGAGGTCGTGGCGGGAGGGGAGGCAGAGGACGAGGTTTTGGTGGTCAAGGTGGCTGGGGCCAGGGTGGATATGGAGGCGGTTATGGCGGCGGTTACGGCCAAGGCGGTTATGGCGGTGGCTATGATGGATACGGAGGAGGCTACGATTATTACGGCGGTGGGTACGGCGGCTATGGTGGTTACGACTACAGTGGATACGGTAATTTTATTGATTATTACTAGAAGAACTTACACGCGTTTATCGCTGTGTAGGATTATATTGAAAAATTTAGTTTTTCTTTTTTATAATAATCAATAGCAGATGATTATCTGCTGCTACCGTCCCAGTGTATTCGGCAGACGAACATATTTCATAGATATTACAAGTATTATGTTTAACCTGTCCATTTACCTCTATATGTTTCGTTTATTTTTTAACAACGTAGTTTATAGAATTGTATAAAAATTTTAAATCATTCAAAGTTAACATCATACATTTTTGTCACGTGTGTATGCTCAAATAGCAAAAATTCACTTCAGTAAAGTTAAATGCTTAAATTCTTAGAATGAAATATATTCTTTTACATATTAATTTAACAACTAACTGATGCAATAGCTTTCGGAATGAACTAAAGATTAAATAATAATACAAATTAGAAAATTAGAGAAACGATCTTTCTAAGTTTGTGCAAAGACTGCAAAAAATCAATAAAACGTGTTTTAGAATTTCAAATTACATCAATAGAATTCTTTATTTGTTTATGAAACAATTTCACAAATGTTAGATAATAATGAATATACGGTCAGATATAACAGGAACAAATGTTTGAGCCACATGCATATGGGACGAATTTAAGAAATAGCAATCAGATCTTGATAAAAATTTTCAAAATTACCTGACACGAAGTTTTAATTATCCATATCCTCTATAAAAATTTGTTTTATTAT